GCAACAAACTCCGGTGAGAGGTATCCCCGAGAAGTAGGATGAAGTATAACCGCGGGTAAAGCAAGTCTCTCCGCAATCGCATCACAGCAGAATACGACTGACAGATCGATGCAAGCCCGAGCCAAACGCGGTGTGCATTCACGCCTCAACCTCAAAAGACGGAACACTCTCCCTGCGCCTGCCGGAAGGCATTCGCAAAGAAGGACTGCATCGCCGTGTAGTGGAACAAGATGCCGCCGAGAACCGCCAGATGCCACAAGTTGTGGCTTCCGCCAATGTAGTCAAACATGCCCGGGCACCAACGTTCGGGAATCTTGCTGGCGTACACAAAGGCGCCGAGCAAGTACACAAAGATACTCTTGGCAATCGGCGTGTAGAATTCCCAGACAAAGTCGGGCCCGTGGGAGAAGTAGAGCTGCAGGATTGGCAGGAATCCCGTTGCGCCAAGCCCGCAGAAGAAGGCGACGCGGGCCCATGCCATCTCGGCTCCGTTAAAGGTTGGGTGCCATGGGAGGATGACGCCGCCGATGCCGAGGACTGCCGTCGTACCCATGTACAACCAGCGGCTGACGGGGTCGCAGTAGAAGGCCGTGTACTCGGTCGTGACGATGGACGCTGCAATGAGCAGCGAGATACCTGTGTAGTCAACGCACGCAAAGATGCTGATTGCGTCCACGTCGGCAACGGCGTTCATGGTATGCCAGATTGTCGAGCATACCAGCGTCAGACACGCCGTGAAGAAGAAGACGGCGGCAACAAAGATATCCGTCTTGGTGCTGAATTGGAAGTTGATGTTGCGAGGGTAGAAGTAGAGGGCGACGGCGAGAACAATGAAGAGACCAATGGCGTGGGACCAAATGTTGACCAGCTCGTTCGAGGGGCGGAAGGCCGACCAGATGCACTCGAGCTTGGACTCGGTAAAACGGTACCCATCACGGATGTGCGGGTTGATGCGCCACGGCATGGGGAGGTCGTCGTAGGTGATGAGTTTCGTCTCCCTGGCCCGCGCGACGGCGTGGGCAATCTTTTCCTCCAAACTCTCAGCGGCGCGCATGGCTCTCTCGATACCCTCGTCGACGACCTCTCGCGCGAGCCCGATGCTCTCGTCCACAACCCTTCGGCCCTCGTTCATAAAGGCGCTTGCCGTGTCGGCGGCATTCGCGAGGCCTTGCTCCCGCAACTTGTGCGCCTTGTTCTCAAACTCTGTGAGCATGTCGTCCAGAAGCTCGATACCGACGCGGGCCTTCTCATTCAGGGATTCGGCCGAGGCCAAGGCTCCCTGGTACCGGGCCTCGAGTGTCTCCACCATGATGTGCAGGCGCCTGCGTCCGGCGCCGAGGACCTCCTCCGAGGCAGAAGAGCAGCGAGCGCGGACGGTCTGGAGGGTGGAAAAGGCACGGGATATGCTCGAGTCGAAAGTGAGCTCACCGTAGTTTTCGAGAAATTCGAGGCGGCGTTCCAATTCGGATAGGAAGAGGTCGACCTGTGGAGGAGTATTGTCAGCATGCTTCCCGCCTCATGTTCGGACAAGTTCTTGTCACAATGTCTCTGTCAAAAAAGGGAAACGCAACCCAGAACAACAGCCGAGGTTTGTGGTTGCAAGTGAACATACCTTAAGTAGCAAGTGCTCCTCGCCGTCCATGATTTGATTGACAATGGACTTGCGTCTAGGAATAAAGTGGGAGTGTCGTCTCTTCCGAGCAACTTCGGAGCCTTCCGCCTGAGCTCCCGAGGCGGTTGCAGTGGTGAAGTCGTCGTCGTCCTGGATGGCGGCGCCGCTGCAAGGTGACTTTAGGGAAGCCATGTTGGCAATGGGTTCCATAACTCAACCAGCAGGAAGACAGAAATAGATAAGTATTAACAGAAGCACCTCGGGTAGGTATGCTTCAAGCGAAAACAAGGTTCGGAGTAGGGGGCTCGGCGGTAGAGACCGCAGCCAGGTGAAAAGGTTGGTGGGATTCCGGAATGTTGAGCTATGTCGGTCTCGCCTTCGTTTGGATTTACACGTGCAAGTGTGGTCCCGCAGTTCTGGTTTTGGTTGTGTTACACTGAAGATATGCGGTGTTTTGGTGATAGGGAGTGCGGTTGTGTTGTGGTTTGTAGATTTGCGGGACGAGTCGATGTTTACGGATAAGCCCACGAGCGGGAGGCGATGGCAATTATTGGCTTATACACCCAACGGGAGGGGAGGGGCCTTGGCGTAAAGGGCGGGCGGTGGAAGGGTGGAGGGAGCGTGGGAGGGAGGAGCAGGAGGAGGAGGAGGGGAACGGGAACAGGAATGCAGGTCAGTGAGACTCAGACAGAACAGAGACCGAAAAGAAGGGACCGAAAGAAGCAGCTGCTTTCTCCAGGAAATAAAAAAGCGTTCTAAGTCTGTTGAGGTAGTTGAGCGGCGGGCGGATCTCAACAATGCGGGAATCGGATTGGCCGGGGCGTAAGGACGGAGAGGAGCAGGCCGCAGATCGACAGAACAGCTGGACCCTGGTGCCTTTTGGGGGGGAAAGGTCAAGGGGGACCTTTGGAAGGAAGGGATCGGATGGCGAAATGCAGTACGGAGATACTTTTGGGTGCTTGTCTTGCGAGAAAACAAAAAACGGAAGCTCCTCGGATCAGATCCTTTTTGCACGTGCGTTTTGTTTTTGTAAGAATATGAGGAAGAGTAAGCAGATGCGAATAATGGAGCCAAGAGATACGAGACGGAGCTATGGCAGTTGAGAAAGAGACTGAGAGACAAGACAGAGCGGGAGGCGAATTCCCAAGATTGAACTGGTGCTTTGTGTCAGCAAGACGCAAAGTATTTCCGTACCCAATTACCGAGAGCGATCCGAGAGGAAAGGGGAAGAAAAACAGAGAACGAGCAAAAAGTAACAAAAGAAAGAGGGAATTATTACAATAGGGAATTGCGAATGAGTTGCGGAAGCGCCCAAGCCAAGCCGCGCAAAGTGGTTTACGGATAGTATTCGTAAGGTACCTTGCAGAGACTAGGGTCGTTGGCTCTTCTCATCTCGGGGCAATGTGGGCTTTTCTGCAGCTCTAACGGGACATGAGATCCGCCATCGGAACAACACACAAAAGCTACTGAGCAGAGAGAGACACTTGGTAAATAATCAGAGCCCAATGAACCAGAGACAAACCATACGAAAATAAGTCCCCAGAACAGAGGAGAAACCTCACTGTCAAAGAAAACACCCAAGGGAAGTAACTCAATGTCGTGAGAGGGAATCCCGCATGAACTGTGAATACTAAGGCTGTTTGGTTCGCTCTGCTGTCCTCCCCGAGCGGGTACAGCGCCTGCATGGTCCGGTAAACTTCGGCCCCAGCCCAAGGCGCGCGTGCCGTGGCGTGGCGGGCCTCTAATGCGCGCCACCAATCGTCGTCATCCCTTCCTCGCACCCGTTCCCACAAGGAACCACTATCTTTTTTTTTTTCCCTTTCTTTCTTTCTTTCTTTCTTTCTCTCTTAGTCAGGGTGCATACTGCTCATCTGTTGCACCTGCAGCAACGAAACACAGCAGTTGGTGCAGAGTGACGGACTAGTGTAAGATCTTCGGAACTGCGTGAATGCCAATATGCGGCCCGTTGCCGACTTTGCCTTGCCGTGCCATTGCCATGCGTACATGTCTGCGAGTGTAAGAAAACCAAGCCTTGGGATGACGAACCAACGGTTGTCAATGCCTTGTGAGACGGGGGGGCCAAGGCATGGTCCGTCAACGGCCCAAGCAAAAGTGGGAAAGCCATGCTTCTACTCCCGTATGCTGTTTACGCTAGCATGTGCATGAAAGAGCTCTGAGACTCTTCTCTGATAAAGGAGCAGGGTTGGAGTTGGAGGAAATCCGTCAGGTGTCATGTGTTTCGAACATGGCAGGAATCAACAATGACGGAACCCCAAGCTCCATATCAGGTAATTGCTTCTGAATCGTAGGAATCACTGTCTCTCTTACCACTCCCATTCGGATCTTCCCGCTTATGATGCGTACCTTAGTCTACGGACAGCACGGCAGTCCAAAGACTTGGGAGATGACGCTCGACATTGGGGAAATTCCCGCCCCAGCGTGCCTTGTGATGGCAACCCCAAGACCACATCCAATGTCTTAGACTCTCGTTGTCGTCCATGACTATCCTCAAGGATACCTTAGCTGCTTGAATTCCAAAGCACTATCCGATAAGGCTTCCAACTAGTTTCCCCATGGCGTACCTTGAGACGGATGTAATGATTCTGCCCTGAAGGTAAGCTTGTTATCTCATGGTATCGCCTTTGCCTGGCGTCTTGCGAAGGCATGTGCCTCACCAGGCGTACGGCCCGTCCGTGTCTCATTTTTATGATATCCGCCCGTGCATGAACGGGTCCAAAGCCGCGAAAAATCAAGCAGAACGCCGCTCAGGGCGGTTTGTAGATTGTAGATTGGGTTCCCGCCCAGGTTGTTGTGAACTTGGTGGTGGTGGGACGAGAGCACGGTAGCTGGTAGCTGGGAACTGCTGTCGAAAGCACGGTCCCTGCGCTGCGGCTGCACTGATTTTCCAACGTCCGCCACGGTACGGTGGTGAACTACCTGGATCGTACCTTGGGTATGGGAACATTGACCAAAGTGTCGGAAGCAGACTAGACCCAACCACCACGCCACGGTCCACGCTTTCGACTTTTGAGGCGCACCCTCAATTACAGGGTACCTTTCACAAGCAAACCACAAGGCTGTCGTACGCCAGCCCTTGCACCGTCCCCGTCTGTTTGCGCAAAAAGTGCCAAACCGCCTCATCCGCCCCATTCGTCAGATCGCCGAACTACCTCGCCTTTCTTCAGCCTTGCGCGCGCGACAAGAGAGACGACGCGATTCCAACTTCTTCCCGAAGCTTTCACCATACTCTTTCTTCGGACAACGGCGATTCAACAAAAAATCGGCGTTAGCGGATCCATTGACGCAGTTCAGCCGAGACCGAGACCGCTGTCATCCCTCTTCGTCAACTTCTTCACAGCCCCACGAACAAGGCACAAGAACCGCAACAATGGTGGTCAACGAGCTCGTATCAGACAAGAAACTCGGCGCGGTCCTCCAGACCTCAGGATACGCCCAAGACCAAGCCGCCAAGCTCCTCCATCTGCTCACCGAAATCACCCGCGCGGCCGAAGAGTCAGGATCAGCTTCATCAGAGCTCCAAGCCGCCCTGTCAAAGGAGCAGAAGCTCCTCCTCACAAACATCTCGCACCTCCGCGGCCTGCACCGCTCCGCCAACTTCAACGCCAGGGATACAAAAGCCCAGACCGCCGAGGCGCGGCAGGAGGTCGACCGCCTGCACCTCCAGCTGCAGAACCTGTACTACGAGCAGCGCCATCTCGAGGGCGACATTGAGGCCTGCGAATCCTACGAGTAAGTGGGGAGGCTTTTCTCTTCTCTTCCTCTGCGGCGTTCAAATATAGCTAACCTCTTCTGTGATCCTCCAGCCATACATACCAGAAGATACCTCTCATCCCCGTCGAAGAATTCATCGCCGAGCAACCAGAACACGCCGACGCTGATGAGGACGCCATGATGATTGCGCGAATCGGCCACGAGCGAGCGGGACGAGAAGCCCTCGAGCAGCAGAGGCTCGAGTTGGTGGGAAGGAAGCAGAAGCTCATTGCTGAGAACAAGAAGCGCAAGGACGATCTGGCCAACCTCGACAAAGACTTGGAGAAGTTCATCGATGTGAGTTCTAAAATGCGTTTTTCTGTTTTGCGCAAAACTTGTCCTGCGCATCAATTTCTAACATCCGCCGGTGTAGGCTGCGAAACCCATCCAGGAGCTCTTCGAAAAGGTTGTATGAAAGGGGCAGATTGAACGTACTTTCCCGTTTGACGAGCTCAATCTTTCGGCTGCTACACGAAATGTTTAGCAGAAGATGCTTCGGTATCAATAAATCATTTGCTTCGCTGCTCTGCGAGAGGCTCTGACCCAGCTTCGTGGCTCGGCACTTCGGCTGGGGATGCCGCAGACAAAGCATGGCCAGCGAGACTTCTGAAAATGAGCAACTATGGAGGAATCATTCTACTAGGCGTCGCCATGCCCTAGTATCCTTCCAAAAGCTGCATCCGGAGTCTACGGATGAGGATTTTTCTCGAAAGCCGCAAGCATGCCTACGAGGGTGGGGCTACGGAAGGACGGCATCTAAGCTCAAAGGTATATTGCGGTAATATGCACCCGCGGGCACCGTTCGAAATGTCAAAGTTGAGCCTGGGGTGGCTTTGTTGCTGACGGCGCAGCGTGATAGTGCGCTGCGCCTCCGAAGGGCTGCCGATGGGATTGCAAAGAGGGTGGAACATCGCAGACGGGGTCGACAGAAGACCCAAAGGCCGAGGAGAGGCTTGCTTCACACCTAGATAGCCACCAAGAACCACAACGTCATCGCAGACGATTGGCGTCGTCAGCTCAATAATCAATATTATACAGATCGAAACATATTTCGTTCATAGACGAGAGAGTTGTGTTTGACGTCGGGACGTGTGAAATGCTCTGGGGGTGGGTCGGCCCGGGGAAAGTCGAGGGGACGGCTGTTGAACGGGATACTGTCGTCACCCTCGCCGGCTGCCAAGGAAATTCCGATTCGGCATAAGCCCGGACGGCCAGCGAAGCCTGCCCGGCCGAAGCACAAGTGACGCGTTGGCTGGGGAAGCAATGCACAGGGCAGCCGAAGGTCTCACCCCGGATCCGATGATGCGACATGTCAGTCTCGCAAGGTGACTGGTTGGTTGATCCGTCCGGCTGTCGGGGTCATCGGGGATGGAAGACTTTAGGCGGGGAGTTTTCTTTTGTTTTTGGCTTTCAACATCTGAGGCAAGCCGTTTCATAGGCAACGGGAACACTTTGCCAGAAATGGGTCGTGTTGGCAAAAGGAGGATGCAAGTATGCCGTGAAGTCTTGGTCGTTGAGAATTGCACTGACAGCGCGGATCGCATATGGCCTCATCTCTGTCATTCGCGACTGTATGCTTCGAGAAGCCTTTCGGAATATGAACGGCAAGTCGCTGCAGGAATCAAGTCCGGCATAATGGTCCCCTAACACCCCATCAAACGTTCTTGCTTGCTCGAGGCCACGCACACTGTCCTGCAAGCTTCATCCTGTACTGTGCAAGAAAAAAGTATGCCCCTCTCGACGGTCTCGCAGGGCTTGTTTCAAAGTTGTTTCCCGCATTGGAGCAGAGCAGGACCCCGTCGGCCGACAAGACGGCCCCGGTGGTTAACGGGCAGATGCGTACGCAGACGGATATGATGGGGCGAACTTCTGAATCGCAACATGTTGAGACATGCCACTTGTGACCGGACGAGTCTGAGTGCCACATTGGTCCATGGATTTGTTGTCTCAAGGGTAAACCGTCCGCTATGCGTGGGTTAGGTGCCCTGCAGACGTAGGTTTCCGAGAGGAGCAACGATTGCACCAATTCGGTCTGAGGCTTGGGGGAGCCATCGCACGCTGAGTTCGAGCTCATAATTAAGACATCGGATGCTTCACCCGTATCGGGCAAGCATCGATGTCTCGACTCAAGCCAGGAGGCGGGGGCTCTTGTGCCACGATGGATGTTCTCAATTCTAATTCCAACTCCTCTTCGTACATTGGTCCGTGGCCCAATGACCTCGTAAATCACACATAGTCGTTCATCGTGATGGGTGACGGACTAAGCCAAGGCCTGCCAATTAGCCGTTGGACGTCGACAGAATCGAATCGTCGATTGGTGGATACAATGTGTGGTCCGTAACTCCGTTCCCTTGGTTGTCTCCGTTTATCCAAGAACTCCTCTTTTCCGACAACCTCGCCGTTGGTATCTACATTTGGTAGTTATGCCACCGTTATGGCGATCCGCGGGTGCGGGTCGATGTAGGTTCCGCAATGGTAACAAGCTAGGGGGCGACCGGCGTTGATGGAGTTTAACGGCGAGACGAGCATCGAGGTGAGATGGTGTTCGAGGAGGCGCTCCGATTCCCCCAGGAAAGTTCAAAGACTGGACACAGAACCAAGTCGGTGGCCGTAGCCGGACCATTTTCCTCTTAACGCAGCCGGCTGGCTGGGCAGGAGACCTGGAACTCCATGTCTTGCCTTGCAAGTTGTTGGTCCAGTCGGCCAGTCAGATTCGGGGTATCAGAAACGTTCAATCTCAAACGCCGGCCCGCCAAGTGTTCGCCCACCCCACCATCCGGCAACCCCCCTATAGGTCTTCCTGGAACCTGCAATACGTCTTCTTCGGTCTTCTCATGGTTGCTGACTTTCTTCATCATAGCTAGCATTCGCATCCGTATGGGTAGGCTCACTTTGCTGCTCCAAGCTCATTGCTGACTCCTATGGTGGAGGTTCGCGGAATAAGGATACTCTCCCGGCGGTTGAGTTTCTAGATGCCGCGAGTGGAACGATTCTGCCAAGATTGTAGTTAAGCTGAAGGAGCAATTGCGCCCGACATGTGCGTGAATTACGAAGCAATCCATGGGCTTGCTCATCGTATCGGTGACCAAACCTCATATCCGATAATCCTCGGACCAGCCATGTCGCGTTGTTCATTACGGAAGAAGCAAGTTCTCGCTTGTGATTGAGTAGTTGCGGAGTGCGGCTGGGGCAACTCTGTGAGCGAACAGTACAGGAATTGGCCCGAAGCGGACGAAGAGTCAGCGGCATCCTTTCTTTCAGACACATCGCGGCCTGTATCTGTTCGGGAGGAATAAGCATCGTCAGCTATCCGCACAAGGATGGCAGCCTAGTCGACGCCACCCCCCGGTCAATAGGTGAACCCTCTGTCGAAGTTGGTATTCTCGTGTTCTGTACGAACAAAGTATGCGAGGTCTTGTCTGTGGCATACCCTACCTGCTATATGCATGTTGCTCGTCTGACCTCAAGTCTCTTTACCATTTCAGTGCCATTCCGTCTCAGGCGTTTATAGAAAGCGCTAGATTAGCCAGGCCATGAATAGATGCCATTGATAGCACGAGCATATCAAGATGGCTTGGATGCGGTGAGCACGGGGCTGATGAAATGCGCTAGAAGCTAACGGCGTTGATTTGATGATGTTGATGCGGCTCGCGAGGCCACGCCGAACCTGCATTGACCAAGGCCAACCGCCAGGGTGTCTGAGCGTGATCGAGACTGGTGAGATGGATTGTTGGTGATATGCACCTGTCGGGCACATGTCGATATCGGACAGTGTGACCAGGGCATCCAAGTCAACGGGATGCAGGTCGAAATTTCCCGCCCTGGCTGCCGTGGCCCGTCACTGTTGAACCTTGAGTCCTTGACAGGCACGTTTGCAGTTTTGCAACCCTGGGGCCCTGGTAAAGACCTGGCCAGAGCACATAGGCCTGATTTTCGTCTGCTGATTTGGACTTCAAATTTTTAATTCTTTTTTTATTTTTATTTTTTTTATTTTTTTTATCTCCGTGGCCATTGCGACTCTACAAAGGGGTCAGGCAGAGAGCAAGAGGAGCCGTAGAAGCTAGCCTCCAGGTAAAGAAGAAAATTGGAGAACGGCCAGGTCTCAGCATCCCGTCATTTCGCAGCAACGGTATCCCAGCACGCCACGAGATCCCACGTCGGCTCTCAAGTCCGACTGTGAGTGAGCAGGAGGGCCGCACTGTGACTGGATTGGACCGACTGGACAGCGTCAGGTTCAGCGCAGGATGACACCAAGTGTAAGTTTGGCGATGGTGGGACGACTAAGAACATCGTCCGCGGGGCCTCGACCGCAGGCTAGTCTACCAGAGTGTAATCATCGATGCGAACCCTGGAAGGCGAAGAGCGTGCGACAAGTCTGGTCGAAAAATGCATGCTATGAGATGACATTTGGCAAGCATGCTGCCTTGCAGTCCCGTTGCCCATGCCGTGACCAATTTCGCCTGTGTAGGCGCGTTTCGCTGGCAATCGTTGTCGTTCGTCGTCTAGCTACCCATGACCTCGTTTCTTTAGGGTCGCATCTCCTCGCCCTATGACGACGATGCCGCAGCATAGCCGTGATGGATGACGACGGCAGCCACAGCTGCCACGCTGGAAGCCCCCCTCCTTCGACCCGCCGCCTGTCGACAGCTCAAGCTGCAGCGCCGCTTGTGAGAACTTGGATTGGGGGGGCACTTTCGAACGAACCAATGACCACTACGAGACTGCGAGACTGCAACTCATTAGACAGTGTCGCGACGTGATCAAAAGGTGTGCGCACTCTCAGACTGAGCCACGGTCTGCTCCGCTTGGCATGCCTACGTACCACTTTGCATGTGGCCCCGGCAGCTAGAAGCGTCCTACAGCGTCGCAGTGGTAAGTAAATACGTCCCCCAGACCTGAAGCATCGTCTGTGAGACGGCGATAGCGTGGTACTGCCAGCGGCATCTGCCCGCCGTGTGTTTCGATTCGTCCTCGCACGCAAGCATAGCATGAGTCCAGCGGCGGCGGCGGTGGCCCTGGATACCGTCTTTGTCCTGTGGCACTGTGGCACAAGAGGCGGTATCAATGGCGCATGGCTGCTCATCCTCGCCGGCCTGGCACACGCGGAAGTCGCAATGTTGACTGCTTCCAAGAATACTCGACAAGTTTCCTTAGCCGGATGATCAACGCACGGTCGAATCGTAGGAGCGACAGGCGTTGTTGTTGATTGAATCAAGAATGGATTAGTGGTGTCGAGCTCTGGGTCTTGATGATGATATTATCGACTATCTTGAGCTCCTGGGTAGCTTGGGTTGTAATGGCCTTCAGCTTGTGATGTAAGCCTAAGTGCTTGAGAGGATAGCCGTGGCTTGGTTGTCGTTTTGTGCTATTCACAACTGGCAGCTGATAAGAACTTGATGCCATGGGTACAAATACAGCCGTTGCGTCGCACAAGTATGATACATGTCGAAATAGCTGGCTGGTGGCAGCAAATTGACGGGAACAATCCTTGGAAGAAATTGACTTGTTGGTTTGACAAGGTGGGCTAGGACGAAAGACCAAGGCATGTCACTAATGAGGAAATATGAAGTCGAGGTAGCCGAGGTGCAATCGTCAAGAAAAGCGGCCAGCGGAAGCTGCCTCACCGATCACCTGCCTCAGGTATTACTCCTCAGACTGGGCCTGCTTGAGGTAAGGCAAGGTGCCTTAGCCTCTTCCTTATGATACCTTATCGACTAAGCAGGCGCGTTACAACTGGGAGGAAGGAAGGAGGCGTGAGAATTTGCCTCAAAAGTACGGATACCAACCAGACTGAACAATAAGGGAAGGAAAGCCCTACGTTCGGTTGTGAGGTTAAGCTTCGACTGCTTACTACACAGTGATCTGTATCCGTACTCCGTACACCGCCCCCTGAGCGGCTTTCCACTAAGGATGGCTAAGCTTCACGACCTGGCACAAAACGAATCCTCCTCCGTGAGTCCATAGAAGCCAAAGCATTCGTACATAGTACTTGATATGCATTGTTGATTATTCCCGGCCGGATTCTACGCCCTTTCCCATACTGAGCATCCACCAGAGCCACCACCGAGACTGTCATCAATGAGACTCCAGAAACAATTATGGGCTGTTGAGCTCTGGACCTCCTTTGTTTGTATGTTTTTGCAGGGCTGGAATGGAATGGAGGTTCAGGAGGTCCGGGTCCGGCTCAAGTCCCCATTGTTGATGAGTTATTACTCCTGCCGCCTGCGTGCCGTGGTGCCCTCCAGCTCTGTCATCGCGGGAGCGCCGTACTATGTCCGCGGGATCCAGCATCGGATGTCGAGTAGCCTTGCACTTTGTACGAAGTATCCATACGCAGTTGTATTGTTTGCTGTACGTACCTAGGTATCATAAGGAGGTAGGTAGGTAGGTAGGTCCACGGGTCCCCTGCCTACCGCACGCTTGCTCGGTGAGGTGGAGAGCTGGCGGTAAAAAGCAGCACAAGGTGGACCTTTGACTGCACTGTGACGCCCCCGGATCGAGCACTTGAAAATTGTTAGTGGGGAGGTACTTTCCAAATATCCCGTTTGGGCGAGCCAGCCCGTCAGAGCGGGAGGAGCAACCCCACGGCATCTTAGCGTGTCTAGCGTCCCTAGCGTGGAAAAAGGCACAGGCAGCAGGCAGTCTTTGGCCTATGAACTTGGCATCGCCGCATGGAAGTGCACACTGTGCGGGGTTCCTGTGAAATTGCGTCCCCGTCATCGTAAAAGGTGCGATTGTTGGCTCTCATGAATTTTTCTCTGGTTAAGTCCTCGTTGCTATGTAATACTCAGAGCGATCTAAAGAGTAAAGACTTGCAGTGAGGTACTTCTTATCACCTCATCCGTACCTACCTTATTATGTCCGTAGTCTGAGAGACGAGTGACTCCCGGCATTGAGGCTAGTTGTCAGAGGAATATACCAACCAAGACGGAAGAATCAAATGTCTAGGTATAACCAAGAGATGAGACAGGATAAAGAAGGTTCGAATCGAGCTTGAGTGAAGCCACCCGCCAAGTGCGGCTGTGCAGTGCCCGACAAGCTCCTGTCTAGCATTACCGGCTCGCACTCGATCATGACGCAGTGTCGCACATGAATACACTTTCATCATCATAACAAGCTGCTCGGTCCAGTCAATCTATCTGAAGGGGTTCCCACGCTCTGCAATTCGATTGCCTGGGTACACTACTGAGAGTGAGTTGTCTACGAATATTGGCTCCGCTGATGCTCAGAATATTGGCCAAGCCTGCAGAATGTGAGACTTTCTTGGCCCAAATTACTATAAAGTGACAAGCAAATGGCATGGCATGGCATGGCAGTGCTTTGCGTATAATCGTTATCGCTATCGGCACGAGAAGCTGTCACGAAGCGAAACCAACGAACGCTAAGGCACTCCGTAGGCTCACTCCGTAAGGTAGTTCGACGTCGATTGGTCATCATCAACACGACTAAAGAAAGAAAAGAAAGAAAAAAAGAGAGACTCAGCTATACATCCCGGCGGTACACAGTGCTCGCGATTGACCGCTTACTCGGTAATTTCTTACTTCTCATTTCCCGCGGGGCGATTCAGTACAAGCGCAGAAAATTCCCAAGGCAACCAGGCCTTGTCCGTATATCCGTGCCACCCTTGCGAGCTCTCATGGGCCCACGTCCCTTTTCGCGCTAAAGCAATTATCGAGGCAGAGGATGGGAGTGAGGCAGGCGCAGAGGCAGCCCACTAGATGCGATGCGAGCGGGCGAGATGCACTAGCCTCAGCACGGCATACCCCAGGCCCTTGTCGCCCAGGCCAATCAGAGGTAATTCTTCTTTCTGATGAGCCAATCACGATTCAAGAATCAGTCCAGAATTGGTCTAGTCCGGCTTCTGGCACACTGGAACCATCTCGACCCTCGCTCTGTTTCTTGCTTCTCTCTTTTTTTCCTTTCATTGCCTCTGTGACCTGCGGCCTGCGGCCTGCCTCGCCTCTTCACAACCTCAATCTGCTGCAGTTCTCCGGATCAAGGTACCTTAGTAACCCCCCGGTCTGTTACGGCTGCCATCACCGGTGCTAGGAGACCCCCAGCTCGTCGTCTCGCCAATCCAGAGGCTTCCACTACCCCCATTGTCAAGTCCAAGGCCCCAGTTCGACGATTTTGCAAGCTGCACGTCTTCCCACCTCATCTTGCAGGCGGCGAGCACCTCCTTTACGCAGTATACCTGCTTAACATACCGTACATAGTATGCTTAGCAGGTAGTGTAGACAGTTGTCCGGGGCGGTAGAACTTCAGCGTCACTGTGTTGGGGCCGTCTTCATACTTGGGTGTCGTTGGTTGTTTTTGTGAGAATGAAAATAAAACAGACAAAGTTTGGCGGTATAGAGAATATTGGTATCCGTACATCTAGGAGCGGGTCTTTCACACCCAAATCAGGCTGTGGCGCTGGGCCGACACAAGTACTCTGTACAAGTGACCCTTTTTCCTCCCCACGTCCCATCTGGAACCAGTATGGTCTGGTCCAACGCAAACAAGCTCTGAGGAGCGCGTGTGAAAGGGAAAGACGGCTGGTACGAATACTCCGTACGGGTACAGAGTCGAGAGCAAGGCGCGCCGCACTTCACCTCAGGGAAATCAGCGTGCCCCCTTTCTCTGCCGCCCCCCCTCGTCTACCTTGCCGTCTACCTTGCCGTCTACCTCACTGCCTACCCGCCCTGCCTTACAATATTACCTGTCTGTAGTGTACCACCCGCGGGACACTGAGGTGGACTGGACTGGACCTTAAGGTACCGCACCTAACCTTAGCTTAGCAGACCCAACCCGACCTTACTGTACCCGTGTCCACCTTCTGCTCCTGCTCCTCCTCCATGCCCAGGTCCCTATCCAAGAAATCATCCACTCTCACTCACTACCTTGCACTTCTTCCCTCCTTCTCTCTTCCTCAGTCTGTCCCCGTATCCATTAGTCGCTATCCTCCTCGTGAATATCATCCGACAAGACGCACTCTAATTCTTCCCAGTCTCTCCCTTTTTCACTCCTTCTCTTCCCCCTCCCCCCCTTCCTCCTGTCTGTCACCTGCTTTCCTCCTCACCCACACTCAACCCTCTTCAAGAGACAGAGTGAGAGAGCGCGAGAGACCACTATCGACCTCGACCGGTAGGGCTCCAATTCTACGCGTGCCATTCGCAATTTCGGCCCAGAGGTTTCCTGATTCTCGTCCTCCGCCCTACTTCCCTCTCCATTCCTCTCTCCCTCTCCCACTTGCTGTCTGCAGTCGTTGGTCTCGCTCTCCCTCGAGCAAACTTCCACCCCCTCAGTCAGGCTTCGCACATTTCTCCAAGCCTCTTATCGGCTGCTTGCCTCGACAGACCGACAACCTCGCCTTCCGTCGTTGACCCTACGCAGCTGTCGCCTTATCGTCGACCTTTCCATCGCTGGCAACGCGCCTCACCGAAGCAATATCCTCGGTCGTCACCATGTCATCGATTTTGGCCTGGGCCTCGCGCCGCGTCGGCGGCCTGGCCATGCTGGGCTTGTTGGGTCTGAGTTACTGGGTTATCTCAAAGGAATCAGCTGCTTCTGCACACAACTATTTGCACGAGGATACCCTTAGCTCTTCGACTTCGACTACCAAGGGCGCTGGCATTTGGACCGAAATTTACGCCTACTACTGCTTGTTTATCCACATCCTCGTCTTCGCTTTCCCTCTCAGATGCTGCTGGGCTGTCTTTGACATGACCCGTCAGCTGAAGAAGATTGCTCGCAACAGGACCCTCAGAGATTACAGGCTCTCCCACCGTCGCCGAGGTTCCTCAACCTCCTTGTCCAGCTCGGAGACCCTCACGTCCTCCCACGGTGGTTCTGCTTCCAGCAGCGAAGCTGGCGACATGGAGCCCGAACTCTACACCGACGGTGATGCTGAACCCGATCGCGTCATCCATGCTATTATCGTTCCCAACTACAAGGAGGAGATGGACACCCTAAAGGAGACTCTCGAGGTGCTGGCTTCGCACCCTCAAGCTCGCAGCTGCTACGACGTGAGTACCTCTTGACACTCGATTAGCCACACAATTACCCTGGTGGTCAATCACCTCCGATCTGGCGACCATCTTCGTTCTTGATTGATATGCGTACAAAAACTGACACTTGCTTGCTAGGTCTACTTGGGAATGGAACAACGCGAGCCCAACGTCGAGCTCAAGGCCATGACCCTCATCCAGGAGTTCGTCAAGAAGTTCCGCAGCATCGATTACACCATCCATCCGTCCGACATCTCAGGTGAATCCGCTGGCAAGGGAAGCAACGTGGCATGGGCTGCCCGCAAATTGAGCCAAAAATATTCAATGACCACCCGCAAGGATGTGATCATTACGGGTCTCGACGGTACGTGCGCATGTCAGATTCTGAGAATCTGCCGCAGTCAATGTTTCCAATTCCTGCGCATGTAGGATGATTCGCTGACAGAAACGTGGGGTGTACAGCCGACAGCCACCTCTCATCCAACTTCTTCGCTTTGCTGACTACCATGCACCTGGCCTACCCCGAAACAGCAAAGACCACCATGTACGCGGCTCCAATCATCTTCGACCGTAACGCCCACAGTGTTCCCGCCATTGTCCGTGTTGCCGACATCCTTTGGGGTGCTGGTGGCATGTCTGGACTCTACTCCGGATCTACGATTGCGCCTCCCACCTCCGTCTACTCCGTGCCCTTGGAACTTGTTGACCGCGTCGGAGGCTGGGACTGCGACAACGAAGCCATCGGAGAAGATTTGCACATGTACCTCAAGTGCTTCTTCGCGCTCAACGGCAACTTGACCGTCAGGACCGTCGTCAGCCCCGTCAGTCAGAGCAACGTCTGTGGCGATGGCTCCAAGGGTCTCCGCGGTATTTACTCGGACATGCAGGCTCGTTACAAGCAGGCAATGAGGCATATGTGGGGTGCCCTTGACTCCGGATATGCGCTCAGAAAGGTCGTCGAACTCTGGCAGGAAAGGAAGCACACCTCTCGCGCTTTCCGCCCGCTTCACAACTCCATGGGCGACGCCTCCGATGTGTACGTCCCCGAGACGCAGCTGGACCAACAGGATCCCGAACAGCCCAGAGAGAGCGGTGTTTTCTCCGACGTCACCCACGACACGCTGCAGTCTCCTAATTGGGAACGCATCGTCTACCTGTTCCACCGTCTCTTCGAGGCGCACTTCCTCCCTCTTCAGATGACCATCTTCGTTATTTCCTCCACTTTGTACGTGTGGGTCACGGAAGGCAACAAGGAAGTGGCGCACCTTAGCTGGATCTTCGACGTTTGCAACATTCTGCGCACTTTCGGTTTTATGGAAATTGCGCTCTACCTCTTCTTGTATGAGAGCTTCCATCGCATCTGCGTCAAGTCCCGCCAACGTGAGATGACCGAGGCTGGTCTGTCTGAGGGCATGAACTTCTCTTACCGCAACGTCAAGAAGAACTTCATTGACTACGCCATGGTTCCGCTCGTCGCCCCTCTCTACGGCGCCATTCCTTGCGCCCAGGCGCAGCTGTGCCATTTCTGGACGCTAGACTTGGTCTACTCCGTCAGCAAAAAGGTCACCCGGCAAAGAGCGAAATCCCTCACGGCAGCCGAAATCGCGTAACGACAATTATTTCCTTCTGTGTTAACTTTTATCTACTCTTCGACAGGACCTCGCCCTCCCCACGGAGGCGTCGATGGCTCACATTATTTTTCTTCAATTCGACGCACAGCCCAATTCCAGGAAGACCCACCAAGCGGCGGTTTTTAACTCGATTATGTGTTTGAAGAAGTTGGGGCTCCCAAGAGCCTCACGTGTAAATAGATGAGGGCATTCTTGATATGCATGGCATGGCATGGTATCGGCATTCTAGAGATTTCGGGGATTCATGGGGCCTCAAACCGGAGTTCTCGGAGCAATACGCAGGAACTTGACGAGCGAGAGAGCCGTCCAAGTGCATTCGCTTATACGGAAGACGAAGTGGAAACGATGGGGTCGGACATATCCAGGCCAGCATGACGAGGCTCACACACCAGCGGCAGAAAGATGCCGGGATGGTGAAGAAAGATGACTGCATCCGCTGGGGACGGGACAAGCCCAGCAGGAACAGCTGACAATGGGCTCCAAAGAGCAAGACGGGAGGCCGACACGACAGAATCCCGGAGCCCATTAATTTGGACGAGTCCTATAATATTTAATCTTGTGTGTACATAGAACGATTCATGATCATGGCAATTGACGCTAAGACGTGGATTGGACGGCGTGGTTAACAGGAAGAACGTTGCCACGATAAAATTGATGTGAATTATACATTATTTGCGCGCGGTTCCCAGTGACTAGTCTTGAGTTCCTTGTGGTCTTAACTTGCTCATGGTGAGTAAGGTAAGTATGAACATGATGCATTCTGACGCCATCTTCCAAAGCTCCCTCATCAGCATATGCAATGCGATTGACTCAATCCATGATGGAGGAGAAAATCCTGATCAACGCAGCCAAGAAGCCGTTCCAGTCAGCTTAAAATGGTGTCTCATCCATCAGACGGGCCAGCACCGCTGAGGACGAGCCGCCAGAACCCCGAACCCTCTCGGAAGTTAAGAGATCACACCCAATCAGCTCCCATGGCTGTCAGCCACCGGAGGCCCAGTGTCTTTCTGCTTGGTTGTTATGTACGGAATATCTTGGCTGTAACGATGGAGCTCGCGGACCGCGAAGTGGAGGACGGACGGTCGATAGATGATTTGGCTTGAGTATAAAGATGGATGGGTGCTGATACCTTGACGATGATACCGAGACAGCCACGCCCTGATTTCCAGCTTGTAGGACTTATTCACTCATATTGTCAGAATCCAGCGCCCCCATCCAGGCATTGCTTCAATCTACCTTGTGGCATTTCACGACAAAACTCAAAGAAGGAACAAAAAAATGGCAAACAGCAGCACCAAAATGGTCAAGATTGGGGTCTTTATCCCGTCCGAGTGTCAGCTCCTCGACATGGCCTGCGTAGACGTCCTGTTCATGATGTCGAGGGAGTACCTGGGCGGTCTGCCCATGATACCCAAAAACATCCCGAGCTCGGCGCCGAGCGTGGAAATCTATTACATTTCTGTAAAGGCCAGCCCCAGTACCAGCTCTCACTCGAAATCGAACCTGATCCCGGACGCGGAACACCTTGTTCCTCTGCTCCCCTTGACGGCAGGCGTCAAGATCCAGCCGACGCACGACGTCTCCAGCCCGGAGGTCCAGCCGGGCATGCTGGATATCCTGCTTGTCCCCGGACCGGATCCGGCGGCGAGCTGGGATGAAGAGACGTTGGCGTTCTTGAGGGGACATGCTGACGAGGAGGATGAGGAGGGAGGAGAGGGAAAGAGGACGGACGTGCTGAGTGTTTGTACGGGTGCGTTCTTGTGCGGTGCCGCGGGGATTTTGGAGGGGAAAAAGGTGTGTGGACCGAGGGGTCTGCAGGATGTTTTGAAAAAGAGGTTTCCGGGAGCGAGGTTTGTGGGGGATGAGTTTCGATGGTGTCGGGATGGTAATTTTTGGAGCTGTGGTATGTCCTTTTTCTTCTCTTTTTTTTTCCTTCCTCCTCTTCTCTTCTCTCCTTTTTTGCCCTTTTTTCTGTCTTTCTTTCTATACGTTTGTTTTGCTAAAAGCTATTGTTACATATTCACAGGGGGCATCACGAACGGGAACGATCTGGTGGCAGCGTACGCTCGGAGCAGCGAGAGGCGCCTCTTTCCGGGGCCGATTGTCGAGATTGCGTGTAAGATGGCGGAAGTTGGGGAGAGGGGCCAGATGTATGAGCAGGGGCAGACGATGTTTGCTTTGGGGTTTGTGTGGCAGCTTGTCAAGGCTTGGTTTGTGAAGTCGAGGTAAGTAGTCGAAGATGAGGAACGATTGATATCAGAAGAAGTGAGAGGTTTGCGAGACGGATGGTGATATTGCAGTTCCCAAGATAGATTTTGTCAGGTACCTAGTAATAGACACTGGTCTACCTACAGGACATGCAAGAGATATCATCCATCTATGTCCGTATAGGCCATGATGAGATCGCGGAATCGTTCAACTTACGGGTCGAATACCCACTCGGCCAAATTGCGATCATGATCACATTAGAACAAGTATGGCACGCAGTGACTCTTGATGGCGCAACAAAGACACCTCAAAGGCAGCGCAAAGGCAGCACAGACTTCGTCAACAGCATCAGCACCGACTCCAGGCAGAAAGCGGTGTACGAGTGGAGGGTCCTCACCATCCACAAAAGCGCCGGTGAAGACGTCGTTTTGGGCATTTTTGGGGCATTTTTGGGCAAGGGTCCAGTGCAGCTCCTTCCCCAGACGCACCTTCCCTGCCGTTGCGCCTTGGTTGCCATGGTGCGATAAGGCCGATAAGACTGGATAAGGCAGCACTAGCGCCGCCAGCGGTGGGGTCGAGACCAAGAAAAAAAAAAAGAAAAGAAAAAAAAAAGTTCCGTCTGGTCTGGTCGTCGAGTGGGAAAAAAATTTCAGGCAAAAGCTCTTCATGAACCTCGACTTTTCTGTACAACCTCCCTCTCACACTCGAATCCCAACCCATCTTCTTCCTCTTCCTAGTCTTTCCATAACCCCCAAATAATCCCTTCAAGAACGAACGGTCTTTGATTTTCGACCTCCTTGAAGAGTAATCATCAAGTGCAAGAGCACCAACTTTTATTAGTCTCATTCACATATTACCTTCACAACCAGCACAATGGCCCAGCTTCCTGTCGCCCTCTACGGGCTCGAGGTCCCCGCCGGCGAGATCCTCATCCCCGCCAACCCCGACTTCCCTGCCACTGTATGTGCATCTCTCTGCCCTCTTTCTTTGCCTGTAGGCACTTGAGCGCAGGCTCCGGCTAGGTCGCAACTTGCGCTGGGCTGGCGCACTCCTGCTTATTCACGGTTAACTAACCTTGGGGTTTCCCAGTTCCGCATCACCATGGCCGCCATTGATCCCTCTGAGGCTCCTGAGGCCGATGCTGATGGCAACATCCCCGCTGTCCCCCGCTCCACCCTTCGCCTCGTCAAGCAGCGCTTCGGTGACGACCTCGAGGCCGGCGAGGATGACGAGATCGATGAGGACTACCTCCAGTCCCTCATTGACGCCAACGGCGACGACGACGAGTCGTCCGATGACGATGATGAGCCCAACGGAGGCCCCAGCGACCCCTCCAAGTCCAAGAAGCAGAAGCAGGCTGAGGCCCTTAAGAAGCTGATCGAGGCCGTCGGCGAGGAGGAGTCTGACGAGGACATGGACGATGCCAAGCCCAACGGAAAGTCCAGCAAGAAGGGCAAGGGCAAGGCTTCTGACGATGATGAGGAGGATGACGAGGAGAGCGATGACGACGAGGAGGGCCTTGACCTCGAGAACTTTGTCATCTGCACTCTCGACACCGAGCGCGTAAGTTGCGAATAGACCGTGCGAGTCTTGGTGGAACATCTTGATTGCTAACAACCGCGCAGAACTACCAGCAGCCCCTTGACATCACCGTCCAGGAGGGGGAGAAGGTCTTCTTTGTCGTTTCCGGTACCCACACTGTCCACCTCACTGGTAACTACGTTATCGACGATGAGGAGGAGGAGGGATCCGACGAGGATGAGGATGACGACGAGTACGACCTGTCCCCCGATGAGCTCGAGTACGGCATGCCCGATGAAGACAGCGACGAGCTTGACGACACCGATGACCCGCGCGTCATGGAGGTCGACACCGACGAGGAGGAGGCCCCCAAGCTGGTTGAGACTAGCAAGAAGGGCAAGAAGCGCGCTGCCGAGAGCCTCGACGACCTGATCAAGGCCGACGATGAGACCAAGACCTCCAAGAAGGACAAGAAGAAGCTCAAGAACAACAAGGGTGAGGCCGTCGCCGCCGAGGAGAAGACCACCCCCAAGTCCGACAAGAAGGTTCAGTTCGCCAAGAACCTCGAGCAGGGCCCTACCGGCTCCGCTGAGAAGGCCAAGCAGGCTGGCAAGCCCGCTGGTGGCGTCAAGGTCGTCCAGGGAGTCACCATTGACGACCGCAAGCCTGGTACTGGCCGTGCTGTCAAGAACGGGGACAACGTCAGTGTCCGCTACATTGGCAAGCTCGACGACGGCAAGGTCTTCGATGGTAAGTGCCGAATTCAGATTTCTTTTTTTGATTCTGCTGGATGTCTCGCTAACTCATATTTCTAGCCAACAAGAAGGGCAAGCCTTTCACCTTCAAGGCTGGCAAGGGCCAGGTCATCAAGGGTTGGGACATTGGTGTCATCGGCATGGCCATCGGTGGTGAGCGTCGTCTTACCATCCCCGCCAACCTTGCCTACGGCAACAAGAGCCTGCCCGGCATCCCTGCCAAGAGCACCCTGACCTTCGACGTTAAGCTCCTTGAGATCAAGTAAACTGGTCGCTTCCTCACTAGCACGACCCCCTCTTGGCGGCGAGACGCCGATTCAGGATGCTTCTCACTGTATTCTACCCTATTTGTCCGGCAGGCATGCCATGGGAAGATGGCGTGCCCCTGCTGGGCCCCGGCGTTCCAGACGCCGACCTTTCCTCGTAATGATGTGTGGCGGCGATAGAGTTCGCTGAGTCGCGATATATGCGCCGTTGCCGCAATGGATAGTCTCCGACCTGTGGCTATCTGCGAAGATCCGCAGTCCCCTCATGGGATGCGAGAAGCAGAATGTGTTTGATGGGATGACGAGGCGAGGACTTACACTGCATTAGTTGGCGTATCACAAAAGGAAATTTCTCTCACCGGACATGGATGGTTTTCTTCCGGTCGGTCTGTACTTAGCTCCGGTTTCCTTTTACGAAAAACAAAGTCTCCTTACTTCTTATCTTGAATTTCCCCGCAAGCCTTCCTCTTTGGTGACTGATCGTATCTGGAATTTTGTTATGACGTCCTGAGATGTAGGGGCAAGCTCAACCTGCAGCGCGGCTACTTACCTATTCGCCGGTGACTATCCTAAATGGTGCTCACCTGCCCCCTGTAGATCAATCGAAACGGTCAAGGCGGTCCGGCTGCTTTGGGCAAGTCCCCCAATGGATGGAACCGTTTGCCGAGGACAACGATCCATATCCTCGTTCCTAACCTAGATTGCCTACATCTTCTCAGACGACATGCCAGCAGGCCAAACACCATCACAGCCGGACTGCTCGTTCGCCTCTCTTTTGGACTCCGCGCTTATCACAAGTCGTTGTAACAGCAGGAATCATAACCTCTTCTATTAGTTCCACCATCACTACTAAGCATCATGCATCAACAAGTTCTCCGCAGTAGCATCGTCGCACGTTCAAATCCGACCCTCACGGCAACAGCCATAGACGCCAACCACACAATTCCAACAGACCTCAGTCCAGAAGTCGACGGCCAGGCACAGCACACTCTTTGGAATCCCCGTCCTCGTCGTCAGGCCACCCCACTTACCCATTTGTTTAAAGGGAGACATAACCATCATCAACGTATGTAGATACTTGCTCAAAGGGCAAACCATCACCAGCTAATACACAAAACAGACCTACAGTCCTCGGGCAGTGCTAGGTCCACCAGAACCAGTAACTTCATTCACAGGTTCATGGACATAAGGGGAAAGCCCACTCAGAAGGCTATGCAATCCCGGCCTCTGCGATACCCAATTGCCCAGCCCGTCTCAAACCACCCTCTTGGCCCGGCCGCCCCAAATCCGCCACCTGACTTAGAATTTGAGCTTCCATCGGCGTCCCAATACACACCCTGGGGACAGTTGGATTGGAACCAACTCTCTGATAAACAAAGAGTCCACACGGTCGAAAAGGCAGCAGCAGCCAGAATCTACCTGGAGACCTACTTCGAGGATGCCTTGAGTGGTCGTCTCACACCACGTGAACAACGTATCGCCGAGCACCAACGAAATCTAGATCAATACGGAGGCCATCTCGGCCCGAGTGAGAGAGACTATTACTGGAGGCTCTTCTTTGCAATGGAGACCAACTTCCTCCGCGAGCAAAGAAACGCCAAGACCCACAGCTGCAGAGTTGCGTAGTCAACAACGTCTAGCGCTGAGATGAGTCGGGGATCAGACTTGGAAAACCTCGAGACTCTGCAAATCCTCGGAAAAGGGAGCTTCGGAGTTGTCAAGCTTGTATGGGACCGATGCCGACGACAGGTATTTGCTATGAAGGTTATTCGGAAGTCTGACATGATTCGAAGCTGCCAAGAAGGGCACTTGCGAGCGGAGAGAGACTTCTTGGCGGCCTCTGAGAATTCAGAATGGTGAGAAGATCCCTCTCGATGTGCTGGACAACGTTGTGCATGCTAACCAGGACTAGGGTGGTACCCCTGATATCCAGTTTCCAGGATCCAGTCAATCTTTACCTCCTCATGGACTACATGCCGGGGGGCGACTTTCTTGGTCTTCTGATTCGCGAAAACATCTTGACCGAGTCGAGAACTCGATTCTACATCGCTGAGATGATACTTTGCGTCGAAGAGGCCCATAGACTTGGATGCATCCACCGAGATGTCAAACCAGACAACTTCCTCATCGGTGCCGATGGCCACCTGAAAATCTCGGATTTCGGGCTGGCTTTTGACGACCATTGGTCCCATGACACTTCCTACTACAAATGGCAGCGACAGTCGATTCTAGCCCTAACGGGTGTAACGCTAGACGGCGATGGCGAAGATCAAAAAGCCGCTCGCGATGGTGGACAGGCGAGGCGAAGATCATCTCGGGAAGGGTCATCAAAACACTATCCCCCGTCGGAATTGCTCCGAACCAAGTTTGAAAGATTTGAATGTCCGTTCAATGTTGTCAAAACAAACGCAGACGAGATTGTAAAAGTCGACCAGCTGCTTGGTTGGCGAACAGCAGAAACACGCCGATCTTCGGCCCGCTCAATCGTTGGCACAAGCCAGTATATGGCTCCAGAGGTGGTCATGGGAGAAAAGTATGATGGCAGATGCGACTAGTGGAGTATTGGAATCATCCTTTATGAGTGCTTATATGGGCACACGCCGTTTCTCTCGGAGAAGGGTCGTCACTATACCAAACAGAACATTCTCGTAAGTTTGAACAGTACTTCCCAATGTAGATTTCTCTGATTTTGAGAGCAGGAATATCGGAAAAGCTTGGTATTTCCTGTTGACGGACCTCCGGTGTCGAGAGTGTGCCGGCAATTGATCAAGGACCTGCTTCAGGACAAGGACAGCCGTCTCTCTTCACCCGAGTATCGCAACCAAGATGCTCGACAAAGTTGGGAGAAGCTTCAGGGTTATAAGAGGACACCAAATCAATATGTTTTCAATGACGACGCATCCGAGATCAAGGCTCACCCGTGGTTTCAGGGCGTTCCTTGGGAATCGATACGCTCCAGTCGACCAGAGTGGATACCGCACATTCAAAGCTACGCCGACTCTCACTACTTTGAAGAAGACGAGCCGATCAGCGACTGGTCTGATTCATTAGGTTCTGAGATAGTGGAGGGGTCGGAGAACCTGGACGACCTCCGTCTTAGGTTTCTACAGTACGACTTTGAAGACGATGTGAGGGGTCTGACCACTGACTTCATCTCCAAGCCCTACGATTCATCCAGATTAAAACGATTCGATCGCGACATTGACGATCATGCCTTTCTGGAACATGTAGAAAAGGCCTTTCTCAAATGGTATGTCAGAAGAGTTGGACGAAAAGAATGCAAGCGCCCAAGAGACAAGTTACTGCGGGACCGTTGGGTCAAGGAGGAAGTTCTTCAGATGAGGAAGCAAACGGCTTTTCTGGGTTATTCATGGCGACGCAAAGACATGGCCAGTCGCAGGCCTGTTGGAACAGTCTACCCTACAAATTATTGAATGGGGGTGAGGAATGAATTGTTAGTCTCGGCGACTTTGGGCGGAGGGACAAAATTGAAACAGCTACGGATGGGAGCTTGGGCTGGTTACACGTACAAGGTGTGTTGCGCCATCATGAGACGGAAAGAGGAACGGCAAGTATGAATAGACATTATTCTTCGTTACGTATCAGCCTCTCCTCTGGTATGTGTGACATGTTGTTGAGGCGCCATCAACTACGCCTAGAGCTTTGGGTATTACTATACTCGGCAGGACGACCATCATTTGGGTCCCTAGAAAGACTTCTCCCTCTTTACTGCCTCTCCTGAAACAGAATTGCGCGCATGCCTTTTGGCGTTTGTGATTTCCCACTCAAACTCCTTCAAGGCCCTGAGTTCCGAGTTGAAGAAGAGGAGTGACATGAGACCGTCAACAACACCAGCGACCAGTCCGAGACTGCTCAGGAGCATGAGAATAAAGGCAACAAAGTTGTGTGGGCTGAACCACACAGCTACAAGGCACGCTATCAGGACGGCAAACCATGCAAAGAAGTGAACCCCCCGCCAGCGCCGTTGGTTCTCTTCCCGGTGGATGTATTGGCGTGTCACGGAGAGTATCTCATCGTAGACTGGCAACGGAAGACCTTTGCCTGGCTCTTCGGAAATTGGGGGGTTCTCGGATGTGAAGGAGTCGCGGTGGGAGCTGGCTGAGGCATCCTGGAGGTAGGACGTCTCGTTATCGTTTTCCGTTGCGTCGAGGCCTTGGTGGTGACTTTGGTGGGGTGTCTGGTATGCCAGCGTTGCCTCGACGGCGAAGTGGTCGCTAAGAGAGCAGCCCAGAGTGGAATGCGGTTCGACCATGCCGACTTTGGCGCTGCGGACGACCCAGCTGCCGCCGTCGTCGTCACCACCACCACCACCACCACCACCACCACCACCACCTCTGGATCCGAAGAAGATGTAATCTAGGCGTTTCCCCTTTCTGTCGGGTGTGTCTGGCGGCACGACGATGGGTTCTTTACCCTCGCCGAGTTTCTTCTGCTGCTCCTTGGACCAGCGCCAGGTGTTGTAGACGTGGTCTGAGGTGGCGCCGTTTTCGACGAGGTTGAAGTCGGCTGAGGGGACGGGTCTGCCGCGGGCCTTTTCTAGGGGGTCGTCTGCGGCGCCGAGGGACGAGTCTGGGTGGAGGACGCGCCAGACGTCATGCACGGGGGCGTGGGCTGTGATGATGCGGTGCGGGAGGGACATGGGCCGCATATTGAAGTCGCCCATGGCGAGGGCGAGGTCGCCGCGCTGGGTGGCGGCGCGGAGGAGTTTGGACATTTCCCAGGACTGGGCGAGGCGGTGGGCCAAGTAGGTGTCGCCTGGCTGGTTCTCGGTGTAGGGCGCGTGGGTGTGTGTGTTGAAGATGCTTAGGACGTGGTCTCGTCCCCCGGCGCCGCCACCGGCGAGGCGGACGGGGATGCGGGCGCAGGCGATGCCCTTGCCGACGTACCAGTCGCCTCGCCAAAAGGCTGTGGGTCTGCCGTTGAGCGGATACGCGCGCATGGAGCTCTCATCGATGGGCCAGCGGGAGAGGACGGCGAGG